CAGTGGGGTTTGCATTAGCCTTGGGAGACTAGCATTGGATATAGGCAACATCTCCAAAGCTGCATGCGCTTCTGTAAAAAACCCAGCTAGGTGTTTATCATTGTGTGTGTTTGTACTTTTAAAGTGCCAGTGGCTTTTTGAGAAATGAAAGGATCCACACAGCTCCTCCTGTCCTCTTTTGTGAGGTGAGGATACCTTATTCTAGACCATGGAGTTTAAAAATGTTTAAAAGTGTTCTGATTCTGTGTAATAAATCTATTTGTATAAGCTGCCTGAGTAATAAAAATGTCCACTATAATGGGCAAGTTTGCAGTTACATGTGTTTTTCTCCTAGTCGCACATGTGATGCCTTGCTTTGGAGAAGATGGGAAATACTGCAGTGAAGTATTTCTAATGGCAACTTGCAAGTGGTCTGTAGTTGGACGAAATCCCAGTGTGTAGGACCTAATTTGCTGTTAGGAAATTAAAGGTTCTTGCTTATGTGCCCCTAGGACAGACAGGTGGCTGAAAGCTGTTAAAGAGAAACTATCATTGTTTTCTTAATCCTTGGCAGGTACCACTCCTGAAGGTATTCAGGAGAGTTTTGTAAGGCAGAGCCTTACAAAGAATAGAATTCAGAGGGAGAAGTTTGAGAGTGAACATCATTATTGTTGTTATGTTTAATCAGAAAAAGTTCCATGTTCAGCACTGCTGGGAAGCAGCCCTTGAAGAATAATTGCCCACTGATTTCTCTGAGCTGTTTTCCCTGCTAAGGTGTTTCAGCTCTTTCACCTGATCGTTCCCACTCCTTTACCACTTCTGTACTTTAAATGCTGCAATTGCTTGGCAGAGAGTGCAGGAAACCCAACTGGGAGACAGGTCTGCTAGAAAAACATGCCATATGAAAGTAAATATTTAAAAATAAAGTGAGGGGCTAGGATTTTTCCAGTTTACAAAGGTATGTCCTAAGCTGTTTTAGAACGATATACCTTGATGCTTTTGCTGGGTTACTGTTCTCCACTTGCAGCTTCTAAAATCTAGCCTGCTTCTCCTTTCTCACAGGTGTCACTGTGTTCATGATCACAATACTGTGGGCTCTCCCACTGCTGTGTGATAATAAGAGACTTATTAGACAACTCCTTTGACCTTCTGTAAATACTTTTTCTTTTTTTGAGGATATCAAAGTTTTCATGATGAATACTTTTTTTTTTGAAGGAGTACATTTAAAATATGCACATTTTACTGAGTGCAAATGCTTATTTCACAGGTTGTCTGTGAGTCTATGTTGTCAGTGCACTGTATAAATGAAAAAGCAGGAGATAACTGTCACTTGTCTTTTTCTAAATAACCATTTGGTCTTCAGGTGTTCTTCATATTGTAAGCTGGTGGAAAACGCATTTCTTGAGCTATATATTCCATAGAGTTCTAGTTCTTGGTCTTCTGAAGGCAGTAAGCAGGATCTTGGAAACTGTTTTGCATCTGGGAAACATCTTTGCCAAAATTAGAAGGAATTCTGTGGGTAAAAGCATTTTTCAGGATTTAATATCTCTGGACTAGCAAGAATTAATTAGTCCTTTTTATTTATTTTTTTCTATAGCAAACAAATACAGTTTAGTGTTGACCGTAGGTAAAAGACTTCCATATTCCTTAGTTAGTTTCTTCTAAAACATGCAGCTCTCCAAACCAGATACCTTGTGCAGATGTCCTGCATGTTAAGGATTAAGAGCATGCCAGAGTTGCAAACACCCTTGGCAGTGGTAAGGAGTTACTGTGTTATTGGGTGATTCCTGGCTTTCCCCATGTGCTTGCAGCTCCTTTTGTGTAGCCATTTGAGATGTGATAGGACACAGCAAAACATGAGAGCCTCTCTAGAGGGGCAGTTTGTCAGCTTCCTAGGAACTTTCCTGTTTATGAAGAGAAACTTTTTTGTATCACACTTGCCTCAGAAGGGATGTATCAATACTCCTAATGTGTCAGATGATCCGGAGCTCGTTTTGATGTTGTCGTGTTTGGGCAGTTGCTTAGGTACAAGCTCAAATACCATATTGGTTATGTTGAATTTTGTGGTTTTACAGTTTAGGAAATCTGGGCTTTGCTCAATAACATGCAACCATTCCTTTAGAATATGTTTTCTCTTATACATAATCAGTTTTATGTGTATGTGCAATAAAGTCCTGAATCACTACAGTTAGTTTGGAAGAATCGACGTTTATACTGTGCTTTAAACACGCAGGAATTTGGGACAGCCTCATAAAAATGAACTGTCGCTGCAGCTGCGTAAGAGGTATTACTTGTGGAACTAGGGAGAGGAGTTCTGGGGTAAGGAGCAGTAGGGGGTGACATTCCAAAATAAAACATGTCCCAAAATATTCCAGTATTGGTGCCTTATGCTGGAATATGTTGTGAGCCAGTTTCCCAGTGAATATTCTGTATTGTATAAACATGCTTGCTGTGAGAAACATGTGACTGGTGTTTGATTTATGTATGTAGCTATTGTGACTTTGGGCAATTTTGTATATGGATAAAAGTGCAATTCAATTGACCACCTATATGTGTACTGTTATAAATGCACAAAATAAAGCAGTCTTGCCTGGGTTTCAGAACATAGCAGAATGAGAATAAAAATATGAGCTTTCAGCGTTTTGGCAAGCAGGTCACAGGTGGAATGGTGGCATGAAAACATATGGAAGACAGTTGATGCTGGTGAGTCAGTTGCATCCCCACGTGCACCTAGAGGGACACAAAATACCCACACAGCTGTAACAAGATTGGGTCACACTGGTGGGGTATTGGAACCAGTGCAGAACAAGTTCAGGTGTTATGCACTTTGTAAGGCTCTGTGAAGCTTCTCTCCCATCTCTAGGTGACTTTGTACCTAATGCTGAATAGCTGTATCCCCTTTCTAACCACAGAGTCACAAAATCCCCTTTCTAATGTGCTGCTTGGGTGACCTTAACAGAGTTTGTGCTCTATGCTGAGCCCTCACCAGAGGGCACTGGAGCCTTCCTGTGCTTCTGCTGCAGGCAGGGGGGCACCCGCAAGCCTTGTTGCTTTGTGCCCTTGCTGCCTGCAGAGAAATGGGGAATTTTTCTCCAATGTAAACAGGATATGTTGTCTTGTCTTAGTGGGAGCAGTATTGCTTCTTAAGTTTTTATTTTATAGGGAAAAAAAACTTTTCCAAATGGTATACTGTGTTAGAATTGCCAAGTTTCTTGCCTTAGATTGGCAAGGAATAATGGAGCTAGTGGTTTTACTGCATGTACAAAACCCTATCCTAGTCTTTGCTTTAGGACAGTGGTTGGCAGGGGGAGAGTGGTCATTTTTTAATTTTTCTGATTTTATTTATTTATTTATTTATTAAGCAAAACAATTTGGAGATAGCTTAATTACAGGCCTGTGCTTTAAAGAAGACCCCAGAGAGGGACAGTACTAGCTAAAGCAAAGGAAAGGGAAAATGGCAGGGTGAAGTACGTGGAAGAACAGTGAATTCTTCTAAGGACTCCTTTGATAGTGGGACACTTGAAACAGTTTAGTAAACTATGCTTACAAATCAATGTCTCAAATCAAAACCATACCAAAAAAGAGAGCTTAAAATTATGGGAAAGATGATGTATGATCTCTCTTGAGTGACTTTTAAACAACTTAAACCCTACTCTTAGCTGGGTGTTTATGAGTAAAGCCTGCAAGCAAACTTGTGTGTGATTGTAGTAGATTTTATTCATAGCTATTGTTGGAAAAACTCCTGTGAAATAAAGCTGTAGGCCATTTAAAGAAAAATGGCTAGATTACATGAATGATAAGTGCGTATTAACTTTTATAGAGCTTGGAAAGTAATATGGTATGCTGAGCGCTTAAGCCATAGCTGAGCAGAATTGGCACCACAATGGTTTCATGCTTTGCTTTTACGCCCTAACTGCATGACTGTGATCAATTTTATATGCTGGTACTCATCTGGTTTCTTCAAGAAGTGGTTTGGGGCATTAAGTTAGCAGAAATCCCCCCTCTTTTATTTTTTTTTTTTTCCCTCCTTTGCTTGGTGACTTTTCTTTTGGTTAGCAATGTAAGCCAGCTTGTAGAGCTCAGTGAATTCTGTTGCTGGCACAAGGTCAGTTGAGGAATACGTGGCCAGGACAGGGAAAGAATGAACTGCGTGAGTGCCCAGTTAGATTAAGGTGAACAGTCAAGAAATTTCAGCCCTTGAAAAACAGCTGGCTCTGGAATGAATTGTGAAGCTGGCTGTAAAAGGCAGAGGGAAGACTGGTGCTGCTGGTCTGATTCTGAAACTGCAACTGCCCACAGACCTCAGCCCACTCAGCTTGGATTCAGTGATATTCTGGCAGCTCTTAATATTGCAGATGGCAAATACTGTGATGAAAATCTATCACGCTTGAGTTCTTTCTGACAGTTGCTGTTGGAGAAGCTAAGGTCTGGCTTCTCCATCTAGAGGTGGATAATCTTTCAGGCCAGAGATGTGGCATATTTTTGTAACATCACTTGGTGGAGCTAGGAATGTGTGCTCTGGAGAGGCTTGTGTCTGTAATGGACTAGTTTTTGGTGAAGCCACTTTTGTTTGGGAGATTTTATCCCTTCTGTTTACAAAGAATAATGAAATGATGGATCAAAAGTAAACATGCATGTGGGAGAAAGAGAACAGATCACTTGATGTTCCTATAAATTTTAAACACTTCAGTAGCAGTAGTAAAATGTGTGTGTTATTGTGTCTATGTAGTATGCATAATATTTTAAATCAAGGATTACTAAATCTTTAGTCTTTTGAAGCCTGTAAATTCAATGCTTACTGTATGTTTTTTTTCCAGTTCCTTCTTTCTGATATTGGTATTGCTTGTGTGTGTCTTAAATTTTTTAAATTAAAAAAATAAAAATTAATTTTTAAATAAGATTTAAAAATGTTTAAGAAAGATTTAAAAAAAAATAAAAGATGTACTTTTTTAACCTTTTGATAGCCTTGGGTTTTCTTACTGGGTTTTCTTACTACGTATTTTTGCTTTTTTCTATCCCAGAAATTGGTCCAGTGACGATAACCACTGATCCCAAGAAATTTCAGTATGAACTCAGGGAACTTTATGTTCAGGTGAGTAACTCGTTTGTTCTTTGTATACTTGTAGTAACAAGTCCTGTTCCCTGCCTCTGATTATTGTGTTCTTATCGATGGTTATGCTACAGTATATCATTGGGATATAGACAGTTAATTTAATTTTCTGTTAATTTTGTCAGCATAAAATATTCATCATCTTGTTCTCTGGTTGTCTTAATTTATACTTTACATCATTGCATAATGACTCAGTTTATAGATCTTATCCACTAACACAGAAAGACCACTTAGTGGTGAAATTTATTTTGCATTTTAATTAGTCTTGTCACTCGTTGAGTCCATTTTATGAACTGTTTTACTGTGTTTTGGATCCTTTTTTTCCTCCATGAAAAACCTTTGCCAGCTCTACAACCCAATTCAGGTGCAAAGAGACTGTTAAGACCCATGAAAGTACGACTTTGTTACTACCTTCACTGCAAGGCACTACCTAGCTGCTGTTGAGTCAAACTCAGTGGTTCACCAGGTACTGATTCAAAACCACCTTCCTCCCCAGCCCCTCTGGATTGTCCCTGTAGATGTGCTCAAGTGAGAGCTCTGGAACTAGCAAGAAGCCTGATGGAGCTTATACCAGATTGCTCCCCTTGGCGAGAATTAACTGTAAATGTGAACTGGATGGATGCTGGGGAGAGGAGGGCTGGGATGGAGTTCCCTTCAGCCAGAGGAAATGTGATGCCATGAATGAATCCCATCAAGAGCAGCCTTTCAGTTGTAGGTGGTCAGTCCTGTCTTTGTTAACCAAGAAAAATGCCCCTGGCCTGCAGAGAGACCTGCTACTGCCTCAGTTGGTAGCCCTGCTGGGCAGGCTCCTCTGTCTGAAAGGACAGATCTTGTAGAAAGAAGTATATATAGTGAAATCTCTTTAATAAAAAGTTGTTAGGAAGCTGCTAGTGCTAGTTGGAGTAGAGCACTGCATAGCTGAAAGCTTGTCAGAAAGATTGAAATTCAGAGGAAACAACAGTATTTTCTTAAGGAGGCTGAAAGCCAAATATGCTTTGTTTATTTAGATGGAGGTAGAGGAATTAAACCTCAACAGTTCTCCTGTTTATTTAAGAGAATTTATTTATTTATTTTAAAATTAATATAAATAAGTTGAAGCTTTTAGAAATTTAAACACATTAGACAGTATATGGAAATAATTTCTTTACAAGTGAAGTTTTAAGTTTCTTTGCTCTTTAATAATAGTGAATCGCATATTTTGTAATTGTTTGCACGATGGAAGCAGTCAGCTAAGACAAGATATTCATTGACTTTGACCAATATAATGAACAAGTATAAGGACAAAATATATTCAAAAAGAAAGGACAGATGGGACATTTTTAGTAGATGTCTGAGAAAATGCAAGCATTTCCTAAATGCATTTGATAAGTGTTTTGCTTAGGAGGACTGTTTGAAAAAAATGTAGGGATGAATGCAGGGGAGTTGAGGAAAAATTGAGATTAATACTGAGAAAATTTATAGAACAAGAATTATCATTAATCCACAAAGCTAAAATTAATGTTAAACTGCTTCAAGTAGTCTGAGCTAAAGAAAGTATGTGTAGGTTCGTCTCCAAGTGCTGAGCCCTAACTGTTCACTAGGGTTTGACATTAGGAAAAAATTTGTCTGTTTACATCTTATTGAAGAAACCAGGCCCTATCCCTCTTAAAATCAGAGTGATAGAGAAGGAATCCCTTTGAAAGCTTATAAATTGATGGAATTTTGTCTTTGTTTTGTCTTGTAATTTACTGAGAATCATTCTGATGGACAGTGTAATGATAACTTCTGCTTGGGCAGCAGTGGCATTTCTGGTGTTTCTTTTAGTGTAAACATGATTGTGAGTTCTATTAAGTAATTTTCACACTAGAAGATTTAAAAATGCACTTAAATCTTGTATCTACTTTAGAAAGAAACCATCTTCTCACAGTTAGAGAATTGAATGGTCCCACAGTATAGGTGTTGATATACTTGCATAGGCAGTTGGGAAAAATCTTTACCTCAGTAGTTCTAAGAGTAAAAGTGACAACTTGGTGTCTGCTTGAGCAGGATAGTTGAACTAGATGATTGCTAGAGGTCCCTTCCAACCTCAACCGTTCTGCATTTCTGTGTAACTTAATGATAATAGTTGCCTTTAGTAGGGTTGTTTTTAACACTTTCTGAATTAGTTGTTAAATTAATTGGATACAGTACCATTTAAAATATATTGTTACTGAAATTTAGACCTAAGAAATTTGACTTTTGAACCTGTCCAAACAGAATGGAAAACAAAACTTAGAGCTTTACTCACCACTATGTCTCTAGCAAGTGCCTTGCATGTGAAGAATTAATAACTTTTTAAAAAAATTTCCTTCCCAGCCTGGGAAGGTTGTGTGTGGAGATGGTAGGTATATGAAAGCATGCTGATCGTAGAAATAAATTTAAATCTTGACACTGCAGAGATCTGTTACCCTTTCCAAGGGAGGTAACTGCTCGTATTTGGCCCTTACCAAGTTCTCTTCTACATGCTAAGTCAATATTTATACAAAAATAAAATGTTTAAAAAGTATTTTGCTTTTTAATTGAGGAAGAAAGTGGCCTTTCCATACAGTGTTAAATAAAGCATTGGAAGCATTTTTGTCAAAATAAGACCTGCAAAGTGTCCAGCTGAGCAGCTGTCTGCGGAGCAGTGCGAGTCACTGAGCACCCATCACCTGCGACCCTGCTACTGAGTTCCCTGTCCTGGCTGAGCCCCTGGGAAGCCTAGGACAGATTCAGATGTCCTGCCCAGGAGAGCTGAGATCATTTTCCATCTGGGCCTATGACCACGACCTCCCATGACTGCTGCGCACTACGGCAGCCATGAAATCCTCAGATAGCTCTGGTGGAAATGTTGTCAGTTTGTGACAGTGCTCTGCAGAAACCATGAATGCCTTGGAAAAACACAATGAATAAATGATCAGAAGCTGCAAAAGTGCATGTCTTCAATACCCCCAAAGAAAATAATTTAGTTGTTGTGGTTTTTTATTAATTTATTTTTTGTGTGTTGTAAACAGGGTGGTGGTGACTGTCCAGAGATGAGCATTGGAGCAATTAAAATTGCCCTGGAAATCTCTCTTCCGGGTTCTTTCATCTACGTGTTTACTGATGCTCGCTCCAAAGATTACAGGCTAACCCATGAGGTACTTCAGCTCATTCAGCAGAAACAATCACAGGTACGCCAGGGGTTCAGAATTGTTCTATGGACTGAATGTGCTGTGTTCCCAAAGAAAAAAAACTCTTCTCTTTGAGACTCAATGAAATTGCTTCTTACAGAAAGGATCTTGATATTGCTATTTCAGCAACTGTTTTAGATTTTCTTGAAATAGAAAATTACCTGATCTCACCCATTAAAAACTTAAAGGATTGTTTTCTAATACTGTGAATTAAATAGTGGGAGTCAACCTTTCTGATAGTATGGGTATTCTTGGTCAGCTTACTAGTTGGGTGACATTTAAATGTCTTGAAATAGAATTATGCTGTGAAATGGAAGTGCTGATAGAAGAATATCACTTAAAATCACTGTAAAGTGATTCTTCTGTTTCCTTTCTTCACTGCTTTCTTTTTATCAGCAATGAATGCAATATCTGTCCTTCATGCAAAATAATATGAACCCATGCAAAGCACCACAAATCCAAGTAGAGCAATATGATTCTTTTGTTACACCTTATTGCTATCTTTGCAACATTTTCCTTGCTTAACTTTGACACTGTGTGTCAAATGACTTAGTCTTTCTTTCTTGTGTGGGTGCATATATGTATACATGTATACATATATATTTGTTTTTTAAATTACAGGTAGTGTTTGTGCTGACTGGAGACTGTGATGACAGGGAACACATTGGTTATAAGGTCTATGAAGAAATTGCCTCGACAAGCTCTGGTCAAGTTTTTCATTTGGACAAAAAGCAAGTTAATGAGGTAAAGTCTTTTGAGTTCTGCTATCTTCAGAGAGGACAAGGGCCGTGTCTACATGCAGCTTGAGCAGCTTTCCTCTGCTTGGGTGAGAAGGGATGCAGGAGTGGGGCTGCTTGGATGAGGAGCTGTTCTGTGCTGTGGGAGCAGTCCTGTGCCTACACTGTGCTGCGTGAGCCGTGTGCAGTTGCACCATTAAATGAGTATTTTCCAAACAACTGCTCGTGAGTCAAGACAGAAATCCTCTCAGCCTTACATAGGCGTAAGGTTAGGGAAGGGAGAAATTAGCTGTTGGGGCTATACAGTTTCTGCCTTGAATTTGACAATTTTATGTGAAACTTACAGTATTACCATTTTGATTAAATAAACTATTTTATTAAATTTCTACATAATAAGAAAAATGAGCACAAGTTGCATAAGTAACTGAAACCATATACATCACATTTATCACAAAATTCTAGAAAGGAGACTATGGCATTTTAGACTTTTTTCCAGTGTAGTAAGCAGCATTACTCTTGCACGAGCCTTGGATGACTAGTCATAATACACTACTGAGACAAATTCATTGCAAAACTTCAGTGGGAAATGTTGCCTGTCAGAAGTGAGGTTCTAGGATTTTTTTATGGTTTGGGAAGGCAATTGTGAACAGAGAAATGAGCTTTCCAGTGCTAAGCAACTGTGTATTCTTAAGTAGAGTTGACATGTGCTATTCTATTAGCAGCCTGTCTCTGATTTCTGAACTCCTTAACTCTTTTCATATTCTAGGAATACCGGCTTCTGCTCGAGTGGCTAGTTTGACTTTGATTGCTGAGTAAGGTTTTAGGTGGGGTTTTTAAGTAGCAACTTCTTCCTCCTTCCTACTCCATCTCAATGTTTGCTTTGAGCAAATAACAGGTGGATTCCTCATCTGGGGGCTGGACAGCCCATGCTATGCATAAGAGCAAAGGTTGATACCAACAAGTGATGGTATTTCTGCATGCTTTTAATGGGGAGCCAGGAAGGAGGGAATGGGAGGAATGCAGTCCTCTCTATAATCACAACTCTGACAGTGGGCCCTGTGCTGTAAGCATTCCCCCAGGCAAGCTAAATGGCTTTAAATCTTGCATCCTAAATGAAACTGCTCTAGACTTCAAAAGGCATGCCCACCAAAGGTTGGGTAGGAGTGAAAAGGATAGATAGTAGTTGTGTGCATCAGCTTTTTAAGGTTTGTATCCCTTAAACATGCTTCAACAGAGAGAAAACTTGCTTCAGTCTTCATCTGTGTCAATCATGTGCCAAGTATCAAGGTTTATAAATGCTAAAACACTGAAAATGCTAATACTGAAATGTCCATTAAGAAAGTGCTACCAATAACTGAATGTGAATGCTCTGCCAAAACAAAGTCTTGTTTTGTTAAAAACATTTTTGTCCCCCGGCCACCAGACCCAAACAAAGTTATTTATAGTGTGCAAAATTGCAAATCATCATTTTCATCCTTGCCCTTTGTGCACTGCCCGGTGAATGAAGCAATATTATGAACTAGCTAAAAGGAAACAAACAAAGCAGAACTTGGTATGTATCCAGTGCTTCTGCTGTTAAGACAAGGAAAGCTTGTTGCTTTTTTATTTTTTATTTATTTTTATTTATTTTTTACTAGCTCAACATTTACAGTTAACTTTGAAACTCTTGTCAATTGACAAAGTCTTTTTGAATGAGTCTCTTCTACCAGTGTCGTTGAAGGCCATATCCTGACAGATTTGTCAGGGCCTCTGTGCTTTACATTACTAAGAATATTTTCTAAGTTCAAAGTGCAAGTTGTGATTTTTTTTTTAAATATCTAAAAATTACTTTAGGCTTTTCCATTATTTGGGATTTTAGGTGTATCCTCATCTCCAAAGGGAACTCTATGCAATTTCAAAGAATGGCAAATTTCCTGCAGTACGGAGCCTCACATTTTCTTAGCATATTCAATAGAGTTTAATCTTGCTTCAAGCCTCTAAGCAAGTGTAAAAGTATTCCATGATCACAACCATTTTTTTGTCCTTTTAATGAAATTTGATTTTGAAGTTCTACTTTTGTAACTTATTAGTGATCTCTGAATGCTACTCTGCTTAACTATAGCTTGAGTAGGCTTTAATCTGAAGCTTCTCAAACTCATCTTCAGCTTGCTTTATTCTGTTGGTTCAGATAAAATGAATGTCCTTTACACATTCATTGTCCTCTTTGTCCTTTTCTCGCTGAAAGTGCAATAGTTTTTTCACTTTGTCTCCGTGGTCTTGTTATGGTTATTATGTTTATTTTACCTGAGCATTTAAATCCTGATCTTGAAAGCTATTCTATTAGGATGGAATTCCCTGGCTTCTGAGGCTGCTGAATGCTGCTTTGGGGAGAGTATTATACTCTAAGGAGTTTTCTATTTGTAGTGTAATTTTCACATGCGGTGTCTTATATATATTTGTAATACACACCTATATAAGTATTAGTAGGATGTAATCTGGATTTTAGCTTTAGGCTGAAGTATGCACTCCCAGATACATAAGTAATGAAATGGTTAACATCAAATTGTCTTTCTCTGACTTTTTGAGAAATATTCTTGAGACCTAGAATAAATAAATGGGATTAGAGACCATACTCCATATATTATCCAGTTTTAAGTATGCATTCCAAGAAATGACCTGACAGCAGGGCAGGTTGCAAGAGCAAGTTCTCTGGAGAAGTACTATAAATTAGTTCTGTGTTTGCCCTTCCCCCTCTAATAATATTCATCAAGTCGCATTTTGGCAGAACCGCAAAAGCTGCAGTTGTTTGGGGGGCTTTATGTAAGCATCCCAAAGGAGAAAATATCTACTTCAAAACCAATATTACAGCAGAATTGCAAAGCTCTTTGGAACGAGAGGGTTGGGAAATAAGGCTTCCAGATTTGCTGCTGAACTTTGGGGAAAAACTTAACCACACAAGAAAGTTACTCCCAGCCTCATGACAGCTGGGTCATTGACCTTGATTCTCAATTTGAACTTGAACTCTGAAATATGTTTGTTTAAAAACTGATGTTGGGTTCTATTCTGAATTTGAGACTCTTTCACTTTGAGTAGCTCCATTTCTGTTATGTGTTTGGGTTAGAAACAAAATGTTTTTTTTTCCCCTTGTTTTGTTTTGCTTTTCCTTTCTAAAGTGGTGGTTGCACTACATAAACCCTTATCTGAAAGTCAAGGTGAATTTCATTTATTCATACATCATTTGAGAGGAAAAATAATTAAAGGAGGACTCCTAAGTAGCCTCATGGTCATCAGCCAGCCTGCTACTGATTCATAAGTTGGGATTTCAGCTGTGATTACAGCAGTTTGTGCAGTATCTGAGCACTTCACAGTCACTGTTGTCTTTGTTCCTGTGGCACTTCTGTGAGCTAGAAAAGTACAGTTGTCTCTGGAAAATAAGAAGGTTTACCACAATCCAAGCCCGTCTGCCTGAAGCCCTGTCCTGCAGAGCTGCCCAAGTGCTTGCACTGCTGCTGGAGTGGTGCCTGTTGTGGGGGAACTGCAGAACCTTGAGCTCCAGTGATTGTTTTGCAATCTCTTGATGATTTATTGCTTGTTGGATAAAAGCATTAAAAGTTGAGGAATGTAGTTCCCTAAGAGATAAATTCAGTTGTAGTTGGAGTGGATTCCCAAGAATTTCTGTCCTAGAGCTTTGCTCCCCTCCATCCTGACCTGTATCCTGTGTGGAACAGGAAGCTCTATTGGAGAAAAACTAGTAAAAATGTCCACAGATAGAAATTAATGAATACTACACCTGGATAAGGAAAGTTTCTTTATTGCTTTATAGCTACTGTATAACTAGAAATAAGCATATAACTTTATCTCTTTAGAAAACCTAGAGTGTCAGAGTGGATTTTCCATAGAGATATATCCATCTCTTTTCAACATCATGCTGGTCTTGGCTTGGAAAATACTTTCTGTGAAAATTACTTTTTTTGAAGTATTTTTTTTTTTGAAATATTTGCCATACTACGGTATGTGAGCCTCTTAATTTTCAAAGTGGCAGTTAAACAGATAAGGCAATAGAGTTTTGGTGCTTGTTTTTCTAGCTTGTCTGTTTTTTGTGTTCATGACAATTATTTTGATTTTTTTTATTGTACAACAGAGCCCGAAACATGTCTTTGTGTTGGTTCGTTGCTTCCTGAATATTCAAAGTCCATCAGGAATATGTTTTTTATCCTTTTTTTGCATTCCAGAGTTATTGCATGTGTTCATATAGGGGCTGAAATCCTGCTTGTGCTAGAATATCTGAAATGAATGTATTGCTGTATTTGGCAAGCCCTTGATTAGTTTTTTCTTGGGGCGATTTGGTAGCAGTGTGTCATCAGGTCATAGATTGCTATTTTCATCTCATCACCACGGACGTGTAGCCTCTTTATAAAATATGATTGTTGTTTCTGCTTCTAGGTGTTGAAATGGGTTGAAGAAGCAGTTCAAGCCTCCAAGGTGCATCTCTTGTCTACAGACCACTTGAGCATGGCTGTGAATACTTGGCAGATCCCTTTTGATCCCAGTCTCAAAGAGGTTACAGTGTCCTTGAGTGGCCCTTCACCAGCCATTGAAATTCGTGACCCGTTAGGTAAAGTAGTTCATACATTCTTTTATGTTATGTAAAAAAGACAAATCTTCCCTACTATCTCCACCACAGAAGGGAATATTTGTGTGACTTCTAGTATCAAATATGCATCAGTAGTGAAGAACAATATTGTTTGCTCTGTTGTGTACCTTTTTTGTCTGTCTGTCTTTAGGCAAGCAGATCAGCAAAGGATCTGGACTGAATGAATTGCTAAATATCCACAACTCTGCTAAGGTAGTAAATGTTAAAGATCCAGAGCCTGGGACATGGACAGTTAAGGTATAGTTATTGCACAGATTATGTATGACTTGTCCCGTAGTTTATAAGGGATTTCATAATGCTTTATTTATTATAGATATTCATCAATGAGTTTGTGTTATACTAAATGTCTTTACTGGGCTACTTGTTGCAACCAATTCTTAAGGCAGCAGCGTAAAAGTCTTGCCAAGGTGAAGCTACTATTTTAGGTCAAATCCTTAATTCATCCTGCATCTTTGAGCAGAAACAAGTGACCACTAAGCTGTTTGCACTCCAGTGAGTGGAGGCTTTCTATAGAAAGTATAGACCAGAGAGGGTTTGCTGTGTATAGCGCGTCTTAAGAGGGAGGGAGAAGCTTTATAGGTTAGACGTATCATGAAATGGACAGTTCTATGTTTAACCAATTTTCTTATGTGCCATAGGTCTTTAAGAGTTTACTGATGAGTCTGAACTAATGCAAATGGCATCCTAGCAATATACAGTTATAAAATTGGACCCTAAAGGATTTGGAAGTGTTAGATAACTAAAATCAACATGATCATTAATAATAACTGATCAGGAAATGACTATTAAGGCCTGCCAAAATGATCACCTTAAAAGTAACTGTAGCTCTACAGTGGTTTTTGAATTAACAAAGATCGTACATTTGTTCATACATTTGTTTAAATAGATGTTTTGCATGATTTTATTGTGGTTCTCTGTAAGAGGATTTCAGGAAAGCAGATTTTCCTGGTACATGTGACATACATGTTTACCTGTACATATGTCCATTTTTATTAATCCTCTAGTCTGTGCGGAGAAACAATAATGTATAATTTTATTGTTCAGTGCTAAACTATAAATAATTACAGGAGAATTGATAAAGGTGGTACTTAGAAAGAAATCCTTTGGGATGAAATTTGCTCCTACACACTTGGAAAACATTGTCAATTCTGAGGTGCTCCTATAATAGAGACATAAATAAATGTAACTTTTATAAAGTTATTCTAACCTTAAAACTTCATAAGTATCCCAAGGTCTGAATAATTCAGAAAAGAGGCATACTTTATGAAGTTACTCTTTTTCTATGGCTAGTTTACTCAGCCTTAGTCATTGGCTTGTTTTATTTCCACTAGGATTTTAAGGCTGCTGCTAAAGAGTTAGAAAAACTTTGTGAAATGTTTATTTGCACTATAAATTCTGTGATTTAAAAAATGACATTTTAACAGCCAATTAACAGGAATTCCTTGATAACAGGAATTGTTTGACACATCTAAATATTTCATTGTTAACAGCTGGCTTATATAAAAATGACTGGTGATTTTCTGAGGTGAAAGGCTGGCTGAATAGAAGCAAACAGAGATTGTCTTAAGATAGACATCAATTTGTTATAGTGTCTAAATGGATGTGTTGGGCAGTTGGTTATGGAAAAATTTGCTTTGTTTAAAAATAGTCATTGCAGCTGTATTGGAGACAGTTACTGAATTGCAGAAATGATATATTTTAGGTTCCCTCAGATATTGCTGATCCTGAGAGACTAATTCAATTGGTACTTTTTGTAGGCACTACAATTATAGGATCCAGGATCTAAAACCTAAGCCTTATCAGTAGATAAGGCTTGGTACTTTTTGTAGGCACTACAATTATCAGTAGATAAGGCTTTTTTTATCAGTAGATTTTGACGTATACCTCCTTTCTACCTTGTTTTTACTGAACTCAGCTAACATGTCAGTAAGTAACTTGGCAAACCCTGACATGCTGCTTGTGCCCATGGTCTCTCGTTTTGCCTTTTCAGACATCCAGCAGTGGAAGACACTCTGTTCGAATCACAGGTCTCAGCACCATTGATTTTCGAGCGGGGTTTTCTAAGAAGCCAACCTTAGACTTTAAAAGAACGTCTAGCAGACCAGTGCAAGGTTGGTTTCCAGTTTTTCTTGCAGGGCAAGAGTTGTTTTGGGGAGTATGCTGAGGTCCCTGAAACAGATAGACCCTCATGACGATTTCTCTAGTGAGCCTTGTGGTAAAGCTTGGCCCATTGGGTTGTCCATAGGCCATTAAATGTGTGATAGCAGTGAGTTGTTAGCTGGATTTTTGTGTCTTTCTGTTAATTTTAGAGGATTAAAAAAACAGATGTTGGCCCTGGGGTATGGTGGGGAGTTAATAAAGCAGCTTCTATGTCAGACACATCTGTTGAAAATCAGCAATTTAAATCCAAATCAATGCTATGTCTCCTAAGAACTAATAAACCCAGCACAGTTTAGCACAGCTTAGTCTCCTGCTTCTTGGTAAGTAAAAGGTTGCCATTGAATGGTGCATTTGTGGGACCAGGGGCCATGCATGCATATGGAGTTTAACCTTTTCTCCTCTCTTTTGCTTTGGGCATTTAAATAGCATGTTCCTGTTTTTCTAGGGATTCCTACCTTTGTGCTGCTGAATACCACGGGGATTGCTCTTCCAGCTAGAATAGACCGACTGGAGCTTCTGAGTATCACAGGGGAACTTCTCAAGACTTTACCAGTGAAATACTATCCTGACAGAAAGCCCTACGGACTATGGAACATTTCTGACTTTATTCCACCAGAGGAAGCCTTTTTCGTCAAAATAATGGGCTATGACAAGGATGATTATCTTTTTCAGAGAATTTCAAGTGTTTCATTTTCTAGTATTATTCCTGGTAAGAAGTTTCAGCTTTAATTGAATGTACATTTGTCATATCTGAATTACATAAAATTGGTGTCTAATCTTGTTTTTGGATGGAAACAGCAGGAAATTATTTTTTCAGTACTTGGTTGAGTCAAAGTTCTGCCTGTATGTTGCGAAGAAAAATGAATTTTATTATCTACTAAGTATAATTTAATCAGAATTTTCTTTTTAATGAGGTGAAAAGATGGAATATATGTTAGTAGCTATTTAATAATCTTTGTGGGAATATTTTCTTTCTTCAGAGGCTCCAAAAGTAACAATGCCTGACAAAACTCCAGGATATTATTTGCAGCCTGGGTCCATTCCTTGTCATGTAGAGAGTCTTATACCTTTCACTCAACGTTTTAGTAAAAACGGAATAAAACTAGGAGTGGATCAGTTCTTCAAGTAAGTAGTATTTTTTCCTATCCTATTTTATTTTCTACTTATATCCTATTATTTCCTATCTATTATTATTTATGTGCTGTTTATTTTGTATTTTTCTTCTCTTCTGTTTTATCAGTAACTTTTTTAGGGAGTCCATATTTTTAGGTGGAAATTCATAGCCCCTATGAGGAGAAGGGAGTATATTTGAGGAGAGGGCACACACAGCATCAATACAGATCTGCCTAAAATCCCCCTTTCAAATGTGGGCACTTTTAAGCCCTATTTATAGTAATTTGAAGTTTGGAAGCAAATGTTGTTGCATTTATGTTCTTTCAAAAGCTCTACAAAGTAGATTAGAAAATATCAAGTTCCCACCCTCTCAAATTTTCTGTTTCTACCCCCAAAATACAGGCGAATGGTTATGTAGTATATATTAGTTTCTTAATTGCCTTTCTTGGATGCACAAGAGCAGTCCCTATCACCTCTGCTCAATTTCTCCTATGCAGAGAATCCCTCAAAACAGGGAAAAAAAAAAAAAAAAAGCCACGGTGCTCTTCAGTTCATATTGATGAAGTAGATTGCATGCTTTGTCTATGTAGAATGAGGTGGAAATAAAGAAATTACAAGAAATCTGTGTTAAAATATGTAAAATAAGGCAGTCTAGTCCATTTCTTAAGTCTTATATTTGAAAGCAAAAGAAAAGTACAAAGCAGAAATCAATCTCTTTCTCTATTTCTTATTTTCTACATATCCAGTGCCTTCATTACTTGAGTGTCTTCTTTTGTGATTGTGTTACAGAACAGATGAATAACAGATCCTTCAAAGTAACTTAATGAGATATGTCCCAAGCCAAATGTTATCGGTCTAGATCTACAGATAAATAGGTTCTAATCTGATTCGTTATAGCAACTTTTTATAAGTAGTGAAGTTCTAGACAGGACTAGTTCAGATTTGAGTGTATAATTCTGCACTGGATAAGTTTTGGTGACAAAATGTCCTGTTTGCTCAAAAATTTATTCATGTATTTAGCTCAAGAAGCAGATGCTTTATATGCATCTCGATGCCTTACATGCAGCTTGATCAGCATGCAACATGTATTTTCAGAGTGGAGCAAGTAAAAGGATTGAATAGATAAATGGCCTGGTGCTGGAGGGTAGTGAGTGATCACTTCAGGTATTGCTATCTTAGGCTGCAAGGAGCAGTGTGTGGCTTCCCCAGTTTAAGGTCTGTGCCAGAGCACTCAGCAGATGCCTCGCGGTGGCTGTTTGCTGCTGCTGTTGTCACTGCTCTTTTTTAAACAGATCCCTGCCAGCCTGCAGTGGCCAAACTTCTCCATTCTGGACACATTTCCTTTTACATGCTCAAGGCTTCCATGTTACACAGCTGTTACATAGCTAAAGCCAGGAATGAAGAATAGAATTGTGTAACTTGACTTTTAACATAATTTTCTTTATGAAAAGTTTTTTGCTTTTTGACTTGGAAGAAATACTGCTTTGTTCTGTTCAGTGTTGGCAGTTACTGACACTTTTATCTGCCAGCATTGCACTGTTAAATGCCTTGTGTTTAGTGTATGATATATTAAGTTATCTATAACAAATGTGAAATAAGAGAGTAAGAAGGGAGCCATTTAAGGTCACGGTACACTGTTTGCATTTATGGTACAATCGACTGAGTGGGTTGTCTGTCTCTTGGTGTTACAGCATTGAACTTTCACATGTATTCCAAGTTTTTTTTGTCCTCTTCTTCCTGTATCCTTTAAGGATTGATAAATGACTTTACTCAGTCAAGGAAAAGGGAATGAAAAACATTACTAATTCAGAGCTCTCCCATAATGTGGGAGCTGTTTGACAAATCTATCATGGATAAGACAGTCATGTTAGTGGTTCGTGGGTTGGTTTGTGTGCTGTAGCAACAAGCGTCAGCACATGCTGGACTCTGCTTGGGTCATTCATGGCATCTGCAGTGTGCCTGTTGTACCCTGTCTTGTATAAGATATACTTAGGAGTCTTCAGTATCTATAGTGTTTTCAAAGCTGGTGAGAATCTATGCAATTACATTTGAAACAAGAACAAAAAAAAATTGTATTTGACAAATATATGGGACCTTTTAAATCAGCCTTGCCTCTGCAGTGACTTTGAGGCAAATGCCAGGTATTTCTCTGGATACCTGTTGTGGGATTTTGCTCACAACTACAGCTTTTCTGGCGCACCCTCTACTTTTGTTCTTGCTTACATTAATTTTTGTTATTACATTTCTTGTGCTAGCTAGACGATGTGTGGAATATTCTATTACTGTTGTACCTACTGTCATAACCTTAGAGGTGAAATCAGAGGGCCAACTTCATATATAGTTCTTTCATGCTTTGCAGCCTTGTAGAAGTTTGGGACAGAGCTATTCCCTGTAGTATGAAAAGTAAAAGGTGACTCCCTGAATGCGCTCTGAAAGCAAAGGCCATTTTGTAATGGGGAGTATGGGAGAAGGTGTCTTATCCACTATATGGACCTAATCTGTTAATATATAGAAAGAGGGGAAACCAGGCTGTGTCAAAGAACAGGGTCTTGTTTTGTGTGTAGCCCGCTGCATGTACCTGGGAGTCGGAGACTCATGCTGGGCGGATCAACCTGGTACCTTTTGTTGTACCTTTTCTGGCTTTATGCAGAAACAAGTGAGGAAAGAAGAAAGTCAAGGAAATATATCTTCCAAAATAGTAACGTAACAGCAGAATATGAGCAGCTGAGTGCAAGAGTGCTAACACAGTAGTCTTGGTAATTGTGAGGCTACTGTTAACATCTGTTAAAGGCATGTTTGTGGGTGTTTAATAGATTCACTCTGCAAAAAGTCGTGTTTCTTAGTAGTCAAATGAAACCTGACAATGTCTGCATCTTCCCTGCTCCAGGGAGTCGTCTAGCATGAGCTGGGAGATGGAGCGTGTCTCCTTGGCTGACGAAGGCTCGTACGAATGCAGTGCGACGAGCAGCGCTGGGACCGGCCGTGCGCACACCTTTCTGGATGTGTCAGGTAGTATTAACTAATCCTGCTGGGCTGGCGTGTTGTAAAGCATTTAATGGAGAGTAATGGCACAGAGGGCTATTAAAAGACACTTCTGGGTTCTAAATATATTTTCAGTTAACTTTTTTCTTCCTTCACCTGTGTACTCCATGAATCAGACATGTGCTTGTGTTTTCTCAGCACATCTGAGTGTTTAGCTAGTGAGGAGAATGGATTAAGAAAAAGACCCTGGCAATTGTACTGAATCAGCATGTCTCTTGCTAACTGTTCATGTGGAGAATGTGTGTCTAGTTAGCTTTTACCTTCCAGTCTTTCTGTCCCAGATACATACATATAGACGCTCAGTCTTGACTTTAAAAATACTTTTCTCCCTGCGAAAAAAGGTGCAAGACAATCCTGAGGAGGGATTTCTCATGAGCCTGGTAGCACTTTGGAAGCTGGGGGTGTGCACAGACTTTTCTACATTGTCTCCTTTACCAGGTGCTATGAGTTCCCCCAAGACTGGCACACTATGTAAACATGAACATAGCTTTATTTTGAACCATGCAGTTGATTAATGTGATGAAAATGCTTTGCAATCCTTGTGTACAAATATTTGGAAGAAAGCTATTTTAATATTTTTGCTCTATAGAAAGTGAAGAGCCTTTTCAAGTGTTCTCAGTTTGCCCAGTTGACAGACAGTATAGCTCAGATTAGCCATTTGGTCAGCTGCTGTGTGAAAGGCATTGGAACTGTGTCAACATGGAGTGAAAGGACATTAGGAAAAAGCAAATAACATGAGTTCGACTTAGTTTTACTTGTATTAAATGTTTAGAATGTCAAATGGCTTGTTAGCTTGTGCAGGCATCTTAACTGAAGTACTAGTAAGAGGTAGTCTGAATATGGGGAATTTAGTTTAAGGTGCTAAGAGGCCAGTGTGGTCTTAAAGGATTTGCCCTGGGCTGGCGGCCAAAAGATGAGGGGATTTTACTCCTTTCCTGGCCTAGGTGGTTTTTTCATTCACCTCACTTTAGGGGCTGGGTTGTTTGGGAAACTCCTCTCTGAGTAAGCAAGTCTGGCTTTTGTTGGCTCTCCTCTGCACGTGTTAAAATGCACCATGGTGGTTATAGGCGTGATTGCTGGGGAGACCTTGTTTATAGGGAATCTGAGCTGCACACCCAGCAAAACAGAGTGTGGGCAAGATGGATGGCTGTGCAGAGAGCTACCAGGGAGCTTGTGAACCTGATCTGAGGTTCCACATGAGGCTTGAATGAGAGGGTTTTTTTCCCCCTTCCCTGTGCTTGCTTTGCTTATGAGGATTAATTTTTATGTGTACTGATAAAGATTTGGTCTTGCCTTACAGCTGTGTCTCCTGATAGAGCATTCCACTTCAGCTATTACTTACTGCAGGTTCTTCTGTAGTCAGGAATTATTCTGACTATGGACAACAAATGGAATATATGTCTTTTTTTAATGGGAATGCATAGTGTGTCATGTATTTAGTCTGTTTTCTTTTTCATTAACATTTAAATGTTTCCTCCTTCATTCAGTGATAAGAAGAATCAAGATGAATACTCCTATTTTAAGCATTTGTGGGTTTTGAAATTAAATTCCAGTAAAACATATTGCAGCTGTGTTCTCAGTGTCATAGAAGCGTACATAGGAACAGGAAGCAAACAAAATAGCAGGAGCTGCAGCATAAAATACCTACCGATAAGAAGAAAAAGATTAAACTGACCTAAGATTTGAATGGAAACCAACACATTAAGAACATAGTGATGCTTAAACCAACTGTTGACTTGAATTCACTGTCTTAGCTATGAGGGTTTTAGTAGCATTTTTTTCATATGAAAGCCTGCTTTAGAAAGAGTTTTAGTGGCACTTCTTTTCCATATGAAAAGCCTGTTTTGAGAAAGGAAAAAAAAATCCTAGTGTGTAGCTTAAATTCCATGTGAAACATCTCAATCGAAGATCAAATTTACAGACCAGGTGGTGGTCCTGTCTGACCATTCTGTTGCAGTGGTACTTGGGTCTCACATTGATTTTCTTTTGGTGCAAGATTAGAGTGGGTGGTTAGATCAGCTGAAAGACTAGCTCAGAAGACACTTCTTTCCAGTAGTTCTGGACTGTGTCCTTTCTTATGCGTGTCTGTAGGATGAAACATTCATATCATTCTAAATGGTACAATAGATCTTTCATGTAGATCAGATGTGTTCTCATTATAAAAGCTCGTGATGTCTAAGTTGGCATCAAGCTCTTCTGCGTTCTGTTTCATGACTCCATCAATACAAAATGAAGTATCAAACTGATATTACCAAATTATTACTATTATTTCTGTAGTGGTAATAATTCTAATATTTATCATGAATCAACAAACAATCCAAAGGTTTCCAAATATTTTCCTTTATTTTATTCTTGTTGTTTCTACACAGAGCCTCCACCTATGATTCAGGTTCCTAATAATGTGACAGTTGTTCCTGGTGAAGCAGCCATCTTGACATGCCTGACGTCAAGTACTGTGCGCTACAATCTCACCTGGCAGAGAAATGGCAAGGATGTGAGGCTCGAGGAACCACTGCGAACAAGGGTGCTGAGCAACCTGTCTTTAGAAGTGAAAGCTGTAAAGCTCGCCGACGCTGGCAAGTATGAGTGTATTGCTGCCAATGAGGGTGGATCTACCACAGCATCAGTCTTCCTTACAGTGCAAGGTAACAGGGGAGCTGCCTTCATCTTATTCTGATGTTGCTTTTGATTTTTCTTGTGTACTGTTGTAACAGCTTTGTGTTTTATGCTCATTTTGGGAGAAAAATACTGTTTAGAGAC